GCATAGCATGATCACAGCATCACAGAATGGTTTGGGTTGGAAGGGACCTTAAAGCTCATCCAGTCCAACCCCTCTGCCATGGGCAGGGACACCTCCCACCAGACCAGGCTGCCCAAAGCTCCATCCAACCTGGCCTTGAACACTGCCAGAGAGGGGGCAGCCACAACATGTTTATGATCCCATAAACAACTTTTCTGTGGGAAACCAGGACCCCCAAAGACATATGGCTGAAACTTGAAACCAGTAAAATCTCTTTCTCGTATCTGACAGACTGGCAGCTTGCAGTGTTTTAGCCCTTGCAGTAAGTTTATTCATTCCTTGGGTAACTTCACAGCTTGCTACACCTTAGCTGGTGTCAAGTGCAGGACTGGGGCAATACAACTAAATAAAGACAAGTGACAACAAAACAAGCATGATGACACACGAATTACTTGGGTAATATATACAGTAACAAATTAAGCATTTATTTGCCTGGCAGCCCAAATGTCCATAGTATTGGCAGGGCCCCGACATTGACAGGACAATCCCAGAGTGCTCCTGACCAGCATCCCCAGCCTTTCCCAAGTGGGACCATAGTTTGCATGCAGCCATCCTGTGCATCTCATCTGCCAGCTCCTCTTTATCCTCTCCCTTTCTATTGGGTATTGGAATATTTCTCAATTGAGGTTTTGTGTGGGTCCCTAAAGCATTTTTTGTTTCAAGGACTGACTGTGAATCCACTTAGTTTTCCCTTTTTAATTACTATAAGGCTTTGAATTAATTCACACAGTGTACAGTGGGTTATGATAAAATTTCTGAATGGATGATTACCTGCTTTTAACAGTGTTGCATCTAAACTCACTGATTTCAGAGGAATCACTTGCAGACTACTGGGGTAAATGGAAGTATAATTTCACCCACTGCTTCTGATAGTGATCATGTCTTGGATATCACTAAACATCACTCAGCATCACCAAAATTGCCCTATGTCATTGTTGTGACCAGGTCTCTCGTCCTTCCGCACCTTAGCCACAATGCCAGGCAATTTTCTGGTTTAACTGTCATTTTGTTCCTTTTGAATTTGCAGTTAAGATACACTCCAGGTTTCTTCTCTGACCCTTCAACAATGTCCCTTGTTTAAATCGCTCCTTGAAGGATGACTAAAGCTTTACCAAAGGGGTTCACCTTGGCCAACCTCTCACCATCAAAGGTGGCTTTGGCCTAATGGGAGTAAAATGAGCTGTCCCTTTAAAAGGGAAAAAAAATCCTTTCTGCTGCTCAGTTTCAGTCATTACTGCCAAAAGGAGCTTCCAGTCCTCACCTGAACCACCACAGGGGCTTTCCATGAGGGATTTAACGGGCACTTTGTGTGCTTATGATTGTGTTACCTCTAGTTAGTCCTTCTGGGATTAGGATAACAATTTTCTCAGGATTTTAAAGCAAGATTATCAAGCCTGTCTACTCACAAAGTGTCTTTCACAAAGTGATTATTAAGACCTGGCGATAACCTCCCGTTTTATATAGGCTCTGAAGACAGTCATCTTTGTCAAGAGAAATCAGGTAAGTTGATATTTACTTTTCTAAATCTCAGTGGTTTCACGTGTACTTGGAGGAAACCATTTCAATTGTGCTATTAATGCTAGGTAGAAAGGTAGCAAATGAAATGTATTTTTATTAAATGTATACTTATTATATTACATTAAATTCTCATACAAATAAATCTGAATTTTAAAAAGTAGTTGTAGCAGTTTAATGAAGCATGCAATTGTAACACGGGCATATTTTCATATTAACATGGAACATTTCTTCAGCCCCGGTGTATGATGATGTGCTTAAAATGAGAGATGACCTTTAGATGCTGGAACTGAATGAAGGTAAGGAAATTAATATTCAAAACTTTCCTTTTTATTTCTTTGGTCTCTTAACTTCTGTTCTGCTCTGTTTAGCATGAAGACACAGGAAAACTGCTTGATATCTGATTGCACTCTATACAGGAAAAATGAAAATAATTCAAAGTTCATTATTACCTCCCGCATTAAAACTAGTTCAAATGAAGCACAGCTAACAAACACATTGGTTTAAGACTACTGTTAATCCAGAATAAAAACGAGGTATTTAATAAGTAGTCTTTGTGAGTCTATAAAGGTAATCTGAACTGGATTAAAATCTCCAATTCAGCAGTTCAGGTAACTCTGGATCAATGGTTCTAAGTAAAATGAATTCTGCTAATACCCTTCAGTTTAAAATATACACAAGAGGAGGATTATCGTATACAGTAGAGGTGAAGGAGAATTAGTAACTAAAGGTATGAACTGCAGCCTGTATCAGATAAATGTTTGGAAGGAAAATATTCACTGAGAGGCACTTTATGGGATGGTTGTGTGGCACTTGTGCCTTCAGTGCCTGTGAAAGGCACTATGTTTTGAAATGGAAATTGTTAGTGATTTTAGGCTGGAGTACAGTGATGGTTTCATATTTGCGATCTGGACATGTATTTTAGTCATCACAGTAGTGTCACTCATGATGGCAAACAAAAGAGTACAGTTATAAAATAAAAAAGACTTGTCTCTGGTAGATAAAAAATAGATATAAGTTAAACAGAATTGCACAAACATGAAGTGTATCATAAAAGTAGAGAGAAATCATAAGAGCTGAGGGAAATTTCAGGCAGCAGTCCTAGGAATATTTGCCAGAGATGGCTTTGAAATTTAGTTGGACAGCATAAACATTCAGAGAGGTAATGCTGGGAAAAGATTTTGGAAAGCAGCTAAAACCTAATGCTCCAAATTTATACTAGTCTCTACCTATTGAGGAGTAAGGGCAGTCCTTTCTAGAGTGATGTCCTTAGTATTGTGGTTTCTCTGCAATTTCTTTTTAAACATCTTGTACTGGACAGAGGACACCACAGTGCCAGATCAGGGAGAACAAACCCTCCCATGAATGGAGGATTTTCCATCATTTTATACTAACTTTATTTAATATTTCTTTGCTAGAAGTAGGACAAGGTTTGGCTCATTATGATCCATCCTTCCAAGTTGTGTTTGCATGTTGTTCCAATCATTAGATGTTTTGCTTGGTTGAGTCTTTAGTGTGTAATCACACCTCTATTAAATGTGGGATGTTATGGCCATGCTAATGCCTGCTCTGAATCCCTGCTGCAAACCAGCATTGGTTGCAGAGAAAATTGTGTGTGTTGGTTAGTGTGGAGGAGCAGCTCAGCGGGAAGGACAGCACAGAGCTACAAATTCAGGTGAGTGAGAAAGCATCTCTCAATGTACGTGGGATGCTTCCAAGCACAGCTTTGTGTATCTCACTCTCTTTCTATTTTGTTTCTGCTTTGCGGCTCCTTTTTTTCTTCTCTCTCTCTCCCCTAAGGTGCTTTGGTAAGACAGTTCCTTCATTTATCAATGTTATTGCACCTTCTTTCTCAGCAATGTGCTCTCTCCAGCCTCTGCCCTAGCATTGTGCATCAGGTCCTTTGTCAGGTGATTTTCCCCATCCTGCCACAATAAACAGCTCTGGGACAGATTAAATAAATTGGTAATGAAGCTAGATCCCTGACAGGAAATTATCTGCAGTCTATCAACCTTTTTACTTGTAAATCTTTGTAGAACAGCTATGCTTGCACATCAGTCTGTGAAATACTCTTACAGATACAAGAGAGTTTGGTGTTAGTCAAATGTTATTCACTCAGTTTAATAAAATATTTCACTCAGGAAAGCCCATGTTCCTGAAAGCAGAGCTTGGAAATCATGTCTCCCTGCTCTGCCATAAGCACTGATCATTGATCTGTAGGGGCAGACTGAAAATGGGACAGGGGATATCCTCTTCTCCCACCTCCTATGTCTGGGTCTTTCAATTACCATGCAGCCAAAATCCTCATGAAGAGCAGAGGTTTGGGCTCTTTTGCCAGTCTGGGCTGCAGAAACCCTCTGGCCAACCAGCCTTATGCCACAGGGACAGTATGGTGGCAGCACTGCAGTTAGCCATGTTTCATGTTGATGTCCCTTCAGCTGGAGTACACAGAGACAGCACTGGCCATGCAAACTGATTACTTCCAGTGTGCAGAGAATTGGTCATGAGGAACATGCTCAAGGCAACATCTGTAGCCTATAAACATTGAACAGTCATCATGAAGCACAACTCATCATAATATAGATCTTTCAGAGCTAAGGAGGCCCTCACTTCTCATGGTACAGGCATAAAAATTCATGAAGTCCTATTAAAAAAATAGGAAATCACCTCATTGCTGACCTCAGTCAGACACACAACTCAACAGTTCCCCCTTGACAGGACACTGAATTGGTGCACCAGTTGGACAGGACACTTAATTGGTGCACCAACAGGTTCACCAGCCACTCTGGCCTTACTGCTCCAAAATATACACAGTTACAAATCTCCCCTTGACCTGATCATCCCATTCCACAACCTCAACTGACCCCAGAGCCTGCTCTCCCCAACAGCCACCTCCACACACCTTTGCAAAGCACCAGTTCTTTGTATTAAGCAACACTGAGGAGCATCTCTCACTAATTCCTCTCCATTGCATAAAGTCAAACCAAAGAATAATTTTTAAAAATGAGCAAAATCCAGAGGCATGGATTACTTTCATACCTATCTTGGTGCAGACTACATCACCACCGCTTCCATCACGTCAGCTTGTTAGCAGGCTTGAGCTACCATGCTACAGTCTCTGCTAACTGCAGAGTCTACAGATCCATAGGAAAAATCCCAGGTTCGTAATACCAGATGGTAAAAGCAGGGATAGCCTTCCCCAGGTGTCAGGCCCTGTGATACTCATGCCAGCAATACATATATGGTCCGTAGTCTAACTGTCGGTCAGATCCCAAATATTGTTGCAAGGAAAGCCAAGCTTAGGATTTTTGGTGCTAGGCTGGTCCACGAGACACTGGATGTTGTCCATGCATAATTAGTGCAGCTCACATAAAGATGATGAAGTCTGGGGAGTGAAATTTGGCCCTGCCTCAGCCCTGCTTTTCTGCACATGCTATGCAGAAACCATGGGTGAGTATAAGCTTTGGGTCAGGTAAAATAGTATTAGGCAGATGGACTGGATAGATAGGTTGTACTACCTAAAAAGCTTCTCAGAGCTTTGCTTGAATTAGCAGTGCTGGTACTTAAACACTTTTGATGCATCAGAGGAGCAAACACAGACATTTCAAACACAGAAATGCTTGGTATCATTTCATCATCCCAAGGAAGAGACTCTTTAGAATTGCTAAGTAGAAATTAGCTATTTTCAGAATGTGTTAATTCTTTAGTGAATTGAATATGAGAAAGATTTTAAACATGATTATAATAGTTTGTTAATCAAACAGTATTATCTTCAAGATAATGGTTTGCTGCATACTCACAAGACTAGCTACTCCAATAAGATGTGAAAAATATTTTGGACTTCTTTTTCTCTAATTTTCATACAGTCCTTCATTTTTCTGACAACTACGGAGCTATTTGACATGTTATTCTGATATTACAGAAATGAGGAAAAACATGTAAAGAAGCAAGGATTGGCATTTTTTTCTAACTACCTCTAATTAAATCTTTGAAACCTGGAAAGCAGCTCATTGTCTGAAGGCAGAGCATCGTTAATCCCTCCCAAACAACCAGGCAAGGCAGCGCAGACATGGATTGGTGACTACAGAAATAAAAGATTAGGGATGACCAGGCAAGCAACATTTCTGCAGAAAAGGAGCTTGGTTGATACTGATCCGAACATAAGCATAAGTAAATATTGCCTTGTTTCAACAGAAAGGGCTTCTGATGTGTCAGTGTCCTTTGGGCACAGGTCGTCCTGCCAGAGAAGAGGCTTGTGTAGGCAACCTTATCAAGTCCCACCAAAGCCATAGTTACATAGGTCTCAAAAATTAAAAAAAACCCACCATATTAAACTCATGACAAAAACATACACAGAAAACACTGGTTGTGTGACTTCTGATTTTTTGCCATTTATGCCACTAAACTTTTCTCTGCATCCCATCTCATGGTCACATCATCCTCAGACAAGGGTTGGACAAAATCGCACAATACCACAAACTTTATCACCACCAAAATAGTGTTTCTTTCTCCTAGAGCAGCCCAAACTCCTGGAAGTCAGAGTCCACAATGCAGAGGTTCTGCTGGCATGTGTCAGTGAAGATGAGCCTGGGATTTCTGTGTCTCTTTCTGGTTTGCAACACAGGTAAGAACAATGGTTTGGTGCTCCCGAGGGAATAACCCAAGCGTCTTTTTCTCAATTTCTCCCACAGCCCCATTCCCACATATCTGTCAGGCTTATTTCTTTCACCCTGTGTAGGCAAGATGGATGGGCTGGAGCTCCAGGGCTGGTGCCATGCAGCAGGGAAGACCAGGTGACGGCAAAGGTCTGCTCTTGGGTCCCAAGCCATGAATGGGAAGTCAGAAGGGTTTACATGGAAAGAGAGTGAAGGGTTAGAACAGCTCCTACCGCCTAGATTGTCTGTCCAAATTTAGCTCATATTCAGAGTTTTTAATACATCTGACTGGCATTGTGTCACAAGTCATGATTTACAGGCCTTGTACCATTGTTTCTCCATAGCATATTTTTCCTTTATATATATATTTAAAAAAAAGAGAAGGAGAAAGAGAAATGTATCCAGGGATTGTCTTCTGTACAAGGTGTAGATTTTTGTACTAATAAGGACAAGCACTCAGGTTTCACCAATTTAGATACAAGCAGTCAGATCATGCAGTCATTTCTCCTCTTCCTTCTGCAGTTTCCAGTCCTACAGATTTCCTCTCGCTGAAGAGGAAATTGAACCCGGATTTCATGCTCCTGGTGATAGCGCTGCCCATTAGTTTATATCACAGAGGGGACATTACCAGCACTGAGATAAGCCCTCCTTACCACCAGCTCCCAGAAGAACGCTTCTCTCTGGGGAGCTTGGATGGACTGAGTAGCTGAAGCTTCAGGGGGATGTGGGAGTTTAGCCTTTCCCAACACTGGCTTGTTTGGGGAGCCTCATGGGTTACTCTTTGGAGGCACTCAGCTCTCCACTGATGAGATAGGGATACTAAGCACCAAAGTCCTGCACTTCAACTTTTCCTGTCGCTGCTCTGCACCTTGCCCTTGTTGGACACTGAAGGAATCCCAGGAAGCGAGTCCTATCTCCTGAGCCCACCTGCAGTTCATTCCTCCCAAAACACCGTTCTTGAGAACAGCACTCAATTGAATAGCTGCTCTAAATAACAAACATGCACACAGCCTGTGAAGGTTTGTTTCGATTTGGCCTTATAATACTACACACTTCGCAGTCAATGTTGTGTGCAAGCCTAGTGCAACCCTGGACAACAGTTTGCTACTGTTTTTTTCCTTTCATCTTGAGTCAATGAGGCGAGCTCTGATATTTAATCTGTTTTCATTCTTTAGCAAGTGAAAGAGCTGGCAAGTCCTTTAGGACATCTTTATTCTTAGGTACTTGATGAGCTGCTGTTGTGAGTACTCAGTGGTGAGCTTTGCAGTGCTCATGTCCATTGGTTTCTGAGCTAGAATGAATGAAAATAGCAAAGAAAGAAACCCAGGTGCAGAGCTCGACAGACTGTTGCTTGGGAGCTCAACAGGGAAAACTGATTTTCAGTCTCTTTCTTCACTTCACAGCTTCGTGCATAAGAAAGGAAAATAAGAAAGAGAAGCAAGTGGCAGTGCTGGCTACCGCAGGTAAGAAGAAGCACATCAGGAGACCCTGTGTGGGGGTGCTAATGGGAACAGGAGATGTTGTGTTGGACACAGACCTGGTGGCAGATGGGTCCTTCTGCAGAGTCTGTGAGACCCAACCACTGCTGCAAGGACTCCTCACCCAACGCAGGGCTTACCCAGTCCCTGGCCAGTTTAACCTCCATCCTTCCAGGAATATAAAATCTTGTTTTCTCTTTTTACCTTTCTCTCCTTCCCAGCTCTCCACTCCCTGCTGTTTTTCCTTTCCTCTCTTCTATGCTGTGTACAAGCCCTGCTTCCAGCCCTGGGGTGCAGATTGGTTTTGAACTGGTTAAAAACAATACTGATGTCATTGGAAAATTGTATTTCCCCCCATATTCAATTTTGTTCTCATCTTGTCTTTCTGTGCTTCTCTTTCCATCCTGCTCTGGTTTTTCTCTCTCTGTCATGCACACACAGACCTTCCTCCTCACACATACACATATACACTGCACTGCTCTGCTTCTGCATGACTCCGTGGGAGGGAAGCAAAAGAACATCTTTGGAAATTTTAACTAGGGGGATAAACAAATAAGCAATGTCAACAGAAAGGAAACACATTAAAATGAAAAGTATGATTCAGCTACAGTAAATTTATTCTGTCGTGGCAGTATAGCCATCAAGATAGCAAAAAAAAAAAAAAAGTATCTCCATTTTCATCCCAGTTCTATTGTAGCATTTGGGAAGGGGGGATATTGAACATTTCCTAGGCAGTTTCTCCTCCCTCTGTGACCTGCAGAGATCTGCTGCCATTTTGGCAGTAAATACCAATTTCCCAGCAGGAGAGGGCACCAAACTGTCAGGACTGGCTCCCCGTGCAGCCTGCTCAAGGCCATGCTCAAAGGCACAGCCAATATAGAGCCTATCTAAATTTTAGCCTACCATTGCACTGCCCGCTTGATCTTGTTATTTTCCAGACTCCTCTTGGCACTCCTAGCATCTTTATTTTCTCACATAGGTTTTTCAGTGCACCCCGATACATAACCTGCTTGTTTTGGTTTTTTTCCCATTCTGGGAGATTTTTGCCACATACAAGCAGAGGCCATTTCCCTAAATCCTCACACAGCCAACTGCTCAGAGACGCCCTCTTTTTCCAGAGCTGCCCGCCAAGTCTGTGGATCTGGCTGCTATCAACCTGACAGAGCTGGTGAACGGGATGCTGAACACGGCACTCAGAGGTAACGTGACAAGGCTGGGCAGGTCACCCAGGCTGCCAGCCAGGCAGTGAATGAGATAAAGAACTAATGGCATTACTAGGAGAAGCCATAAATATCTGTCGTCTGCCTCCAGAATTGAGTCTAGGAGCAAGTTACCCTAGTGCATTTATAATGCAGATAGCTGTCTGCCCCAGAGAACTTAGAAATTAGTGTGTGTTTGTATAGGGACACAATATAATTACTTATGAGGTGCCTTTAGAAAGGGCTTTATAAATCAGTGTAGGTTTGAATTAAAACATACAAACCCCAAATAAAGAAGGAATACAAATGATCCCTCCCTCAGTGGAAATGAGAAAGAATTGAGTCTCAGGCAGCTGGATAGTGTCAGTACCTCAGGAGTCTTTTAGAAATTAAGTGAGCACAGTCAAAACATGCTGTTCTCCTAATTTGTTCCAACTATTAATAACATGGGCTTGTGTTTCTGCAGGTACCAAAAAACTCTTTTCTTTGCTGAGCGTCACGTCTTACAGCTCATTTGCCTTCCACAAAGTCTCGGTCACCATTTATAACAGTGAGTGCCTCGTCGCTTTGCTCCACACAGCATTTTGTCTCACACTGCCTGTGCATCAAGATAGTGATTTCTTTCTCCATCTCTCCTTACAGTTTCTAACGTGAAAAATGTCGACCCTGGCAAGTTCCCTATGCATTACTGCTACTGTTTGAACAATGCGTCAAATGACTTGACAGGTGGGTGCACAAGAGAGATTGGCAACTGCATGTGCTTAAGTTGAGTTATATCCTCTGGAGCTGAAAGCTGCACCTTGAATTCTGCAGGCTTCATCCTTTTGAGCAGCATCACCACACGGAGGTCAACAGGCATTATTCACAATGAGTGGCTGCTCTGAACCTTGGGGGAGACTCAATGAGCTCAGTCTTACTTGGCTGCAGCCCAGCAGCCAGTCTGGGACGGAGCCATCAGTCAAGTGACCAGTGTGGTTCACCCAGCAGAAAGACCTCCCTTGCCTCCCCAGAGTACAAACAGCAGTGCAGGAGAAACAACCCAGAAATGTACGACACATTACCTCAGCCACTTTTGTCTCCTGACATATCCCACAGGAGGTGAACAAGGGCTTTTCTGCACCAGCAGACACCAAAAACATTAATGAGACCAACAGGAGTGAAAAGCAAGGATTAACATCTTCACAGAGCCCTTAAATGGCATGTAAAATGCTGCTGGGCAAACCCTTTACCTGTAAGAAATCTACGAGAAAGCTGGGGAGGGGACATTTACAAGGCTGTGTAGCAACAGGACAAGGTGCAGTGGTTTTAAACTAGAGCAGGGTAGATTTAGAAGTTGTTTTTCACTGTGAGGGTGGTAGATCACTGGAACAGGTTGCCCAGAGAGGTGGTGGAGGCCCCATCCCTGGAGATATTCAAGGTCAGGCTTGATGGGGCTCTGAGGAACCTGATCTGGTAACATTGTCCCTGATCACTGCAAGGAGGTTGGAACTGGATGAGCTTTAATGGTCCTTTCTGACCCAACACATTCTATGATTCTATGATAATCCTCATTCACACCCCTGATCTTGCAGTATTTAACATTCCAGGATGAGTCTGAGCTCTATAATTCTGTGGCTGGTTAATGTAAGATATCAAGAGTAGCCCAGCAGCTAGGCACCAGAACCCATACCTTCTAAAGCACATGGGATAACCGCTGCACATGAGCCACAACAGCTCTCATGGCTTTTTCTGGACCCACACATCTCACAAGCCTTATCGCATAATGACCCAGACTGCCCTGGAGGATAATGGGGAAACTTTAATCTTTCTGCCCCAAATCTTGGTGATTAGAAGAGCATTCTCCCAGGTAGCGAAAATTGAGGGCCTGACACAGGGCTTATGTCTGTCACTGCCTAAGTGACAACACTGACTTGTTACTGCTAGAATCAGTTACAAAAATACCACCACCACCACTAGCCAATTTTTGAGCTGACAACATTATCAGTGTCTGAAGTAGACCTCAAAAGAGACCATCGGATGCCTTCTGGGAGGTCCTACGTGGTAGATAGACAGTTAATGCAGGCAAAGCTACAAGCTTTGGTTCTCCCCCTACATTTAAGCAGAGTAAGCAGAGTATTTAAATTATTCTCTTGAACTGAAAAATTCCATTTAAATTGACTTTTAGGCACACTGGTGTTATTTCAGATATCATCTTTGAAATACACTTCTGCAGAGTATTCCAGTGGCTTCCAAAGTCCACTCCCATTCAGCAGAGACATTTAAACAATGCCACATACAAGCATATATCCAAAATATGATCACATATAAAAGTATTCTTTTTTGACTTAGCAGAGGTGGTACAATACGTGTTTTCACTCATAAACTTTATTTTGTTGTCTAGATTTTACAGCTCTACTTGTTGATATTATTGGAAACTCCACCAGTTATCTCACAGAGATTTTCAAATCCACTTCTATTCTCTCAGGTTTGCATTTGCTTTTAACATTTATCATTGTCTTATTTGTCTGATTTATGCCCACCATGGAAACAAGAATAGAAATGTGTATAAAAGCCTATTGCTCTTACTCAGCAGCATTTTTCTAGCAAAGCATGGACTGCAATTGCAAGCAAACTGTTCTTAGAGGAGCAAGATACATATGTAATGTGTATATATATGAGATAAAGACACACATGTTTCTATGAGCAACCGTGTTTTGTTTGAAAGTTTGGTGAATTATTAAATACTGGTGTTCTGTGGAATTATGATTCCCAAAGAATAATTACGGGCAACATTGTCTGATTTTTTAATAATGTAAAAATTCATGTAATTTAGAATTTTAATTAGATAGAAACATTTCCCCTGGAAATATTAGCATTTGGATTTGGTGCTGGCTCAAGGTTTTTGTCAAAAATCAGATCAGAAGGAAAATAATTGGCCAGTTGTGGTAGACACATATCAGTTTGTGTTTGTGTTTTCAACTCTTTAAGATAATATCATATAATGAAACCTGGTAACAATGATCTGTTTATGGTTTTTTTGTCTTTCAGTGCGTCAGAGCAATGATTCAGATTGTATCTACATCTGTGTGATGACAGGGCAGACAGGTAAATGTTAAAGCCATTTAATCCCAAAATATTGCCCTGTTTATTCTCAGTGATGACTGATACTAGAAACAAGCCTTTCTTGATATTTGCAGGGAGAAATCTATCTGACTTTTGGGAAGTGCTAGAGAAGTCTTCTGTTGTTAATTACACATTTTCCAGTAACACATCTTCTGACTTGGGTAAGTAAATCCTGAGGAATAAAAGGAAACAGCAACAATGAAAACCAGGTCTAGGAAGCAGTTGCAATGATACTTCGTCTTCATAATGTAAAAATAATTTTCAAAAATATTATTTTATATTTTTATTATTGTATATATTTAGAGATCATTATATACTTTATTAATTAGACTGATAGTTTCTATTATTATGATCATATTATAATATTTATATTATAAATATAAAGTACAAACTTTTAAATTATGAACTCTGAGGTCTTCTAGTGGAGGAATGAACAAAACCTCCTGAGATGGGAATTTTCACAGAATTCAGCACCAGAGTGTTGAGGTTCTCTGATTCTTTTAATCTAAATGGGTCCTTGCCCTCACTCTCAGCACAAATGATCTCCTACTTTTACCTTCAGAAAGGAGTTGAATATGTTTAGCCAGGGTGCTGCATGGCTCCTCCATCCAAAACTGCTTTGCCAGGTTGAGCTGCACATCAGATACCTCCTATTGCTGCCTATGACTATTTCTCATTTTCAATGCTTGATTAAAAAAAAGGCAGACAATGAAATCAGTGACAAGGTTGTGCTGAAAGCTGAAGAATATTTCAGTTCTTTAAAAGACTAATAATCAAAGACACTGCCAAAAAAGACTTTCATGTAGAAAGGCAACAGCTATTTCCTTTATACCAGAACCCAATTTCTTTCCTTTTTATTACACAATATGTGATGGATGGTGGGCGCACTAACCCTCTCTTCTCATATCTCAAAGATCTGGATTCGATTTTTTCAAGTTTCATGAAATTACAGGAAGACCCGAACAAAACAGTGGATCCATCAGCAGAACATGTCTGGACACCTAAAAGTGAGCAAGTATTGTCAGACTTAAATTTATATTCTTCTTGATTAATGCCTTGATGAGTGAGCGTGTGTGTCTGGTGCACAGCACTGTGATGCTGAGATACAGTTACAGAGTAAGATAAAATTTTGCCCTAAACAGCAGATCAGGTCAGTAATGCACGGGATAGCTGAGGAATAGAAAAACAACTGTAGCAAACCTTTTTATTTCTTGTCATTTTATTAGAAAAACAAGTTTTCTAAGAAGGCAGAGAAGTAAAAAAAAAAAAAAGAAAAGTTATTTTTAAACCAAGAAAAAGATACTTCAGTTTCCTCTCTTATTGTAAATGTTTCAGTTTTTTCTCTTTGATGTCATATGTTGTTCAGTTGTGAGTACCTTAATTTCTCATAAGCTTCAGTGCATTTAGCTTTGTCACAAGGCTACAAGATAGAAAAGTGCTAGTCTGCTTCATCTCGAAAGCAGAAAAACAACCTTCGCACTTGCTTCCACATAGTAGGAGCAAAGAGAAATTCAGAATTTTTCTTCATATTTCCTCATTGTTGCAGCTGAATCTGTCTACGACAAAAATTTCTACATTTTCCCTTGTCAGTCTGCTGGTTTTTTATAAGTTCTTTCACTTTGGTCAGCCGCATACCAACCTTTGCTATCTTCCAGCCCAGTGTCACTCCTGCCACAAAATGTCATCAGTTCTCAAATGCCAATATCTGCCCTGCAGTACCTGCCTGCTTTGTCTTTTGTCTGTAATGAAGCAGTTTAGGAAATAAATAAATAATTTCTGTAAAGAAAGAAGTAACACTTTGCAGGAACATTTACGTTCCATTTTTTGTCTATGAAAATTTGCATATTAAAATCTTTTCAGTTGAAATTTCAAACATAATTGGCACTCTCCACATTCCCATATTTAAAATGAAATGCAGAGGTGACTGCTCACCTGCCAGGGGAAGCACTCAAGGAGTAGATGGGACTTCCTGAATGTATTTTATATATTTTTGTCCCCGAGTGTGTTGCACTCACTGCTTCCATGGGGCACCAGCATTTACAGCATGTTGCCTCTGCCTCTCCTGCTTCTCCAGCTACCAGGATCCCTCTTGCCCTGAAAGGGGAGGAAGTTCCCACCACGAGGTTCCCACCATGGCCAAAGACGGTTGGAGTGAAAGGATCAGGGTTTCCATCACTGCACATGGACTCTTCCAGACCAGGAGGCATGGCTGAACCCTCTCCAACTGCTGGGGGGAACTCACGCCCATCACCAGCCCTGCAGCCCAACCCCAGTGAGTATGGCAGGAAGATGGGCACCCACTTTACCTGCTAGCAGTAGGGTTTGGCCAAAAGCTGAAACCCCATCTCTGAGGCTGAGGTTGAGAGGCCCTTCAGGGAGACCCACTCTGGGTCACTCACTAGTGAGTAGATTTTTATATTGTAGAAGCACTAAAATCAGATATAGGATCGATCTGTAGTTTCTTACCCTTTGGGTAAAGCTGAGCTTTGCTCTTCACAGGCATTTCTGCCACCCAGGTCTTCACTCACATTTTACTGCAAATACAGTGAGCAGATGTGTGAAAAAGCAATATAGAGCTGCTTCTCTTCGTGTCTGCCAAACAAATCTTCTTTAAATCCTACCTATCCCTAGCCCACGGACTTTTCAAGATCTAGCACAATACAGCTTTTGTCCTTCCTTTTTTATCCTTCCTTTTTTATCTTGACATTGTTATGACACTGGAAATGCTCAGTAAGGGACTCTAGCTTTTGAGCTGTCTCATATATAGCAGTTCTCAGTAGACAGATAAATAACAAATATCCAGAATGACGGGAAGCGTGTGTCTTTCTGTTCCCATAGCTGATGTGTATGCATTTTGGATGCAGACGGTGTCTCCTCAAGAAACCAGCAAACTGATCCAAACAGAGCCAGGTGAGGTTGATCTGGGATAATAACCAAGTGTGTCAGTTGGCATATTTAGGAAATAGAAAATAGCATATAAAAAAATAGGTGACTGTGAATGTATTTCTAAATCAATGTCTACATAAGTGTTTATTAGTGGACTTTTTTTCCCTGTTATTCTTTCAATCAACCTTCTTTAATTTTCTTTCTCCTGTTAAGATGTCGAGGCAACTTATATTCTTTCCCCTTGTCCAGATTTGCCCTTCTCAGTACTGCCTATGCCACCCTACAGGCCCGGTGTGGCACTGAAACTTCACTCCGCTACCAGTAAGTACCTGCACCTCATGCAGCAAAAACCAGCAGTGTGTTTGAAAGTATATCAATGTGCAAATTTTCTCATGCAGAAACAACATACGTGTTTAATTTACATAATAACTTCTGTACGTAAAACACCTAAAATGTATAAAGAACTGATTCCGTATTTTTTGTGAATCATACACAATCGCACATTCAAAACATATACTATGATGACAGAATTAATGTATGTACTGCGTGTCAACTTTAACATTGATTGCTTATTGGAGAATCTTAAAATTCGTTTATTCCAAAAGAAAGTATGAAGTCTCCAGAACTGTCCTGAATTTACAATACTGCAAACTTCTTCAGCTAAAGAAGGATCACTGTCAACTGCATTTTCAGGAAAGCTCAGCTCTTCCTTTTAAGCACCAAAAGAGTTGGAATTTAAGGGAATTAAAGATGAGCTAGGTCTTCTTATCTTGATTAGGAGCAAGAGGAATATGCTATAGTAATTCTCATACATCAAAAATTCTGCACATAACCAAAGTTCTCCGCATGTCTTGTTTGCTTTGGGTGAGTTCAACCTGAGGATTAAATGAGAGCCAGTGAACTGGAAGTTGCTGGAATTTGTGACTGGTCTTGTGGTGTGCTCAGTCCAGAGTTTGTTCATGTGCCAGTTGCTGTCTGGTGACAACACTATAGACCCTGGAGAACCTAGGAGTGGGGACCAGCCCATTTTGAAAAGGCTGGGAAACATGTATGTCAAAGAGATCAGGGAATGGAGAATCACTATATGCATCTTCATCAGAATCCAGGACAACAGAGGCTGTCTACCTCTATGTATGTATGTCATGCATTTGGAGAATTAAACCAAAGAGTGGGATCACAAAGCAATGAAGGGCATCCACAGTGCACTGAGGATTGAGATGTTATTCCAAGAAGCTATTTCTTAAATACAAAAGTGAATGCCAACTGATAAAACATGCAAGTATTGGTGTTAGAGCACACAGGGAGGAACATTTTAAGTCTGAATTATTCATAGTAGCCGTAACATTGCTTTTCACTGGCAGCAAATTTTAATCTCAGTGTCAGAGAGACATGACATTGCGTTAATAATGGAAAGGTCTGTTTACTGTAGCAAGAATTGGTCACTTATCTGCCTGTGACAGTAACATGGTAACTTTGAATTGACAAGAGCAAAGCTCTGCACAGGGAGCTGTGGTTTCTGCATTTTCTGGCCTGTCTCGACTGACTCAATTCCTTAGGAAATTTAATTCTTAAAAAAGAAAGTTCTGAAATTAAAGCCTGCTTTTAATTATTTTTAAAATTTCAGTCCAAATCTGTAGGAACTTATAAATCGAATACAAAAAATGCAATTAATAGTAGAAATTTATTACAGAAGAGATATAAAATATTAATATGAAGCACTGAAAATTTTAATTTCAAAATGTGAGTATACTATCCAATTTAAATCAAATTAAATGCAACATTAATTGAAAGATAAGTTCAGCATTAAATAAATCCAGTATTATGTAAATACTGCATTAATTTAGAATTAAGTGGTTGTCAAAAATGAAAACCAAAGTAATTTGTTTAACTTTCAGCTTTTTTATTTGACTTCTCTTCCCACATAAATGAATTCAAATCGAAATTGCAGTCATTCAATTTACATTTAGATAAAGCTGAATTTCTGCTGGCAAAACACACAGCCTGAGCAAAGAATTTAACACCTGTTAGGCAGGATAGCAAGTACCCACTTTGGTGGAGACTTTGAGATTTGTTGAAGTTTTAATTATGCGTTACTCACAGCAACTCTAACATCCCTTTTCATGGACAGCTTACATTAAACCTCATTGCTGCATGCTCTAATGTTCAGTTGTTAACATGAAGAGCGTTTATTAAAACAAGTAGTCATTTTTTACTTGCTATCAAGTTATTAAAAGTTATGAAGTGGAAAAAGCCTAAAGACATCTGCAAAACTGCTAAGATTAAGAGAAACATCGATCCCTCTCGCCCATCTCTGAATAATTACTATAAAAACAATACTAAAAATAATATAAATAGTATAAATAATTAAAAATAATATTTGTATAGCACCTTTGACACGGAATCAGTTTTCAGAGGAGCCCATGAGTTTGGGAGCTATAAGTGTCTGCCCATTGCTCCCCCATGACTCCTGCTACCTTGGGCAAACTGGCAGAAAATAAATAGTTTCATAGAGATCTTTCAGGTTGGCAGCCCTTTATTTTCCTCCTGCCCATGAATGCCATTTCATATTAAACTCCTTGTCAGCACTAGATAACTCAAGCTTATTTCAACAGAACTTCATTAGTCCAAATTTAACCTCCGTAACCTCTCCTATCGTATAACATAAGCTGGCCCAAAGCTATAAAGCATGCAGACATGTGAACCTGGACAGGCAATTACACTGTCTGAGGGGATTATACTCTGCAGGTAAGGCAGTTGATCTACACAAGGCCAAAGCCTGCTGCAAGTTACACAAATGGAAAAAATCAGTGGACAAACACACTGCAGCCACCTTCGCTCTGCACATTCAGGCTCCTCCACCCTGATGAGTGCATGTGAGGGGTCACCCGCATCATGCAAAATGTGACCTCTCACAGCCCAGTCCCTGGTTATCATTTCAAAGCCCAGGCATGGTGTTTGCAGGGATGTCCCTTGTTTTCCAGCGCGCTGGTGTAGGGGAGAAGTTTTTTGAAGTTTTTTGTATGCAGGGGCCAGCACGACATGTGTTCATGCAGCTCCCCAAGGTCAGACGTGATGCCTTGCAGGGCAGGTGGCTTCCCTGCAGCGACCCGAAGTGTGCCCTCACATGCAGCACCTCCTCTTCAGAGGAGGTATTAAACATGCAAAGAAGAGGTGGTTACACACCTATTTTAGGATGCTGTGGTAGAATTTTAGCATATTGTAAATATTGCTTTTTTTTTTTGTTTTTCTAGCAAGACCTTTGTTTCTGACTCATAGTAACACAACTGCTAGCTAAGGTGCAAGATGATGTGGGACAGCTAATGGTTTGGAGAAGACAAGCCTATGGCAAATGTTAGGTTTTCCTCTTAATGTGATGAAAAAAAAGCCCTGAAATCTGAAAACAGCTTCAATTATGCCTTACCTTTTCTCAATTCCCTCTATTTTCACCTTGCCTTCTTTTCATTTTCTGTAACAGAAAGAGAGTCTGAAGAGAGGTTGTATGTGACACCAAAAAACCACGTAGCAATTCAGGATTTTGTTATAAGCTGCCATCACCTATTCTGTACTATTGCTTTTTCTGCAGTCTGGCACAGCTGCATTTGCTGGCTGAATGAAATGTTTGGTGGACAAATGTTTATCTCTTGCTGCTGACTGCAGAAGATTCAATGAATGGAGTAAACTAGATATTTTCCTTTTAGCTGTCTCAACAGAGGGAGAAAGGGAGTCCATCCCCAGCTACACCATTTCCCTGCAGTTTTCAGAAGTTAAAATAATGTAATGGTAGTCGCTTGAAGAGAAAAATAAATAAAAGTATTCACCAACTGGCTCTTGGCAAAAAAATAATAAGATGGAGAAATTATTCCTACCATCCTCTCAGTGCAGGCAAAAATTGACCTTTCCTCCTCCAGTTACTTGTCAGTTTTCATGAAACTTGTAGGAAAGTATTTATCCAGAGGATCTTTACCTGTCCCCAAAAATGGGCTGAAATTAGCTGATTATTCAAGTCACTAGAAGGAGGAAAGCAAAATCTGACAGATGGAGGGATGAACAGAAAGAAAGCCATAACCTCAGCATAAATCATGTTTATTTTGTTAATGAGGCTAAAAAAGATATGGAAAGAGCAGTGGAAGTCTGGTGGTTTATTAGCTTAGCCATATTTAATGTAGGATTCAGATTTATAGGGTGGGGAACCATGTGGAACTGGAAGCTATTTTTTCATTAAAGTAGCATATGCATATAGAAATATCAAATATAATGTGTGCAGAGCTGTTCTTTGCCTTCCTGTTTTGCACTGTGCAAAATTGATGCTTCAGTGGCAAACAAACCTCCACCTAAAGAGGTAGCAATAAATAAATCACATCTTTAGAGTTGTTCCTTATATTTGTGATAAATAAAAGCAGCATGGATTTAAGTAAATAAGCAGTAATCATAAATAATAATAGATTGAACAGAATATTTGTCCTTTCACTCAAGGAACTGCCAGACTGTGTTGTTGCCTCACTCAGATTTAATTTTAAGATACCTATAGGAGTTTATTGATCAGCATGTTTCTCATAGCCCACATAAGGCTTTGCAAGACATTTAATGGGACAAGTACTTGAAGAAGTTCAGAGTTGTGTTTTTTCCTAGGGTGTCCACAGGCAATCCTCAAAGAGTCCCGCATGACCTCACCTCCCATCACCCTTATAGTGCAAAAGATCAACCCCTGCGTGATGGAGCTGTGTAGGTTTTTCCAGCTGTGCCTCTGTGTTGGGCAGAGAAGATATTCCAGAAAGGAAGCCATGAGGTAAAACCTGGCACTGTTTTCTCCCTCTTTTTGCTTAAAATACTCCATCGGGCTTTCTTCAAATGACAATTTTTCATCACCAGTGCTTATTTCTGAATCTGGGGCTACTGACAGAGACCCAAATAGGTCCCCAGAGCATCAGTGTCCCTGCCCATGGTAGGGAGGTTGCAGTGGATGATCTTTAAGGTCCCTTCCAACTCAAACCCTTCTGTGATTCTATGTTTCTATAATCAATACCTGATCTGCCTTCCAGTATTCAAACTGAGTGAATAAGCTGAATTTTTCCAAATATCTAATGACATCATTGAGGTCAGAATCTAGCTTTTTATTTCCATATTCAGTATTAGCAGTATGACAAACATACAGCTATGCTTATGAAAGATAACAAGCTACTACTGTCCTAACTTTAACTACATCTTTAGGTACTGTGTTGAATACTATTCCTGGTTCTTGAAAAATGCAAGTTATGTCTGTAAAAAAGTGAAAAGAGTTGCTTACTCCCACAGTAAGTATATTTTCTCTTTATATCTCTACATAGCTTATAATGAAGATATAGCAAGATGTTTTAGGTATCAACACAGTATTTGCTTTGTTTCATCAGATAACTTTTATCTGATGAAGATATTTTAAGGGATTTGGACCAAAGATTATTTAACATTCATGTATGTTTTTAACATTTTCCTCATAAAACCTCTTCTGACTGCAGTTTTCTTGTGTTCTTCCAGCATTAAAACAAAAATGTCTTAAAAACATCTGTACATCGGTCTAGAGCACTGAGGAATTTTACTGCAAATTGGACGATGAGTGGCAGCTTTAGTTGTCTCTTTCATTTCTCAGTGTAAAAATCGGGACACAAGATGTTATTTGCAAATATTTGTAACAAGACAAGATATTAAGCAAATGTTAACATAGAAATGTGTCTTTCTTCCAGGCATTGTAAAAACAGCATTTAAAAACAGATGCATTTTATACAAGTGATGTAACTGCAATAAAAACATTGGAAAGCTTTTAAAAATTGTACTTTATAAAGGATATTTATCTGGTTGGTTACTGAATGCAAATAGTTTATTCTAGTTTTATTTACAATTAAGATAAAGTAATGAAAATGAACAAATACAAAGCAATTTAAAAACAATCTGAAATACTGAAATCAGTAAGGTTTTTTCTGGTTTTACGCAAGTGCAAATTATCCATTATTCATAATCAAGAGTCTCCTATTACTTCAGAAACTCATCTATTGCAGAGCTTGACCAAGGAAATGTTCACTCCTCTTGTACTCTCACTCTATGATATATTTGTGTGAGCTTGCCAAGATTCATGCCCTCCTTATATGCACCTCTAGTGAACTAAAAGTGAGTTCCAAGAAGGAAAGAATAACCAAACAAATTGCAGGATCCAATATTTTGCTACACTGCAGCAATATGATGCTCCTATCAACCCAAAGTGCAGCATCAAGCCATTAATATTTAAAAAAATAAGATTATTTGCACTACAGTTGATGCACATTGATGTTTCACTGAAGAAATATGTGTTCAAAGTAATATAAAGCCAAAGAGATAGGTGTCACCATCAGGAATCCTGTTCCAGGGAGAGGTGGGACCCAGCAGCCCTCCTCCAAAATACAATTCACTGTTGTGCCCAATAGTATGACAGAAACACTTCTGTCGTAGCAAAGGCAGGATAAATGGAAGTAGTCTCAATTACAGTTGATACTGAAAGTTAGGCCAGTGGAAGAAATAGGAATGTTGATACAGTGAATATACAAATTGGAAATATTAACATGGCCATGATACTTCAATGCTGTGGAATGACCTTGCTCTGCAGCACCTCACCTCACTCAAGGCAGGATCATTTCTGATCTATATGACCTATTGATACAGAATCACAGAATGGTTGAGTCTGGAATGGATCTCAGGAGGTCATCAGGCCCAAAGCCCCTCCCCAGGCAGGTCCACCTGGAGCCCAGGACCATGTTCAGATGGCTTTAGAATATCTCCAAAGGAGGAGAGCAGGAAGGATACTCCACAACTTCTCTGGGGAACCTGTGTCAGTGCTCTGTCACCCTCACAGTAAAAATGTATCCTGACATTCAGAGGATACCCTCATGCATTTCAGTTTGTGCCACTTGTCATGTCCTTGGGCACCACTAAAAAGAGCCTGACTCCATCTTCTTTGCACCTTCCCTTCTGGTATTTCACAGGGATCGTTGAATCACAGGGTTAATTCAGATGTATATTGTTGTCAACTGGATAAATTAAATGACACCATCAAACAGAAGCGTCCAGAATTGGTGAAACACAAAGGTGCTGTATTTCTCCATGATAACACTAGACCACATCAAGTTTGATGACTAGTCAAAAATTATTGCAGCTTGGATGGGATGCGTGACCACATCCACCATGTTCACCAGACCTGCCACCATTTGGTTTGTTCTTTACAAAACGCCTTGAATGGTAAAACCTTCACTGCTGATGAGGATATCAAATCATTCTTGGAACTGTTGAAAGTTTTGGAACTGTTTTCGGCAAAAAGCTGAAAAAGATAAGAACTTATTTGAGCACAGAATCATGAGGCTGCCTGAAAGATGGCAAAAGGTAATTGAACAAAATGGACAATATATTGTTTAATACATTTTTTGTTTCCCATGAAAACTTCACCTTTCATTTACCCAGAAAAAAAAGCAATGATATTTTCGCCAACTCAGTAATTCACAGGGCCTTGGAGAAACTAAGCCTTTTATTCATGTAAGTATTTTTACGGTTCCTGATGTGTAAGGCTTCTTCTTCTCCATGCTAAAACTCAGTGGAGAGTTTGCTTTTTTTGATGGCATCTTTGAAGGGCAGCTGTGTCTGACCCTGGCAGAAAGCACACCTTCCCAATGGGGAGAAGCATTCCCAAAGCTCAGTGACTCAACCTTCCCCTGGATTTCACTCAGCTTTGGATGAGAGCCACCATGGATCGACAAGAGCAGACTTCTCAACCCTGAAGCATGCCAGTGTTTAAAGCTGTATAAATTTTCACTCATCTTTCATCACTGAACACTACCTCTTGCTAAGCTATTAAAGTCATATTCACATGCCTCAGAGATTTTGTGAGTGATTAATAACAATGAGATGATTGTTATTTAATTACAGCCAAGAGTATTAGGGAAAGTTACCATACGGTGAATGCACCTGCAGAACAGACTTGTAAGTATAGAGCCTTTACATGGCTGGAGCTATATTACTAAAATACACTGTGGACATAATGACTCTAAGGAATCTCATGGAAGGATTAATTAATAAATGTTGAAGCGGGTTTGATAAAGGAAGTGATCACATGGGTGAGGTGTATATCTATGTGGGTATAAATAACTTAGTACTGACTTTGCTGAAATCCATTTGTCCTCCATCCAACTGCTTTCGAATAATATCCCTCAAGGTAAGCCTTTTCTAGATGTACTCTATAATACAGGAATCAGGAAGAAAACAATGTAGAATAAGCTATCTGGGGCTTTAGACTAAAGTGTAGGTAAGAGATTTGGGATAGTAGACTACACATATCCAGAGTTGTAGCTTTATAAGCTCACTTTCTGATTAAATATTATGAGATTTTTAAATAGAAATGAATGTGATATTTGACTTTATACCTAAGGAAGCAGATAAGCAACAGTAGATACATATTTGAAAACTGATTAATAAATGTTCGTTTATTTGGCTGTAAAAAACTCCATGCCTGACTGACTTAGAAAATCATTCTAAATTTAGGGTAAACTGTGATTGTAGTTCAAAACCAATCTATTATCTGTCATTTTATGAATACTAGTCCAAGGCTCTTAGCTTCAGAAGAATTCTTTATACACATTTCTGTAAGGACAAGCACACCTAGAACTTGAAGATCTCCAAACAACATAGTGTTTATGGTTAGGAAAACATATGATACATTAGGTCAGTCTCAACATAGATTAGAGTAAATGTTTGACCACAAACTGGGAGAGATTTTCTGTGATGTGTAGCAAACAATTATAATGGATCGCAGATTAACTGGGTTCAATGGAAGTAATCTCAGAATGTCTCTTCATTTACACAGCTTTTCAAAATATCTGCATTTAAATGTAATGTTAAGAATTATTTAAACATCATCACATTAGATCAAGTAAGCTGTGAAAACTGTTTGCAGAACAAAAGAAATTTCAGGTACCCCATTTTTTTGATAAATGGACTTTCTCTGTCTGTGGTGCTTTGACAGAGCCTGTTGACTCATCTAAAGCAATACCAAAATAAATATTATTAGTCGGGTTTAAAGATGGCATTGATAAAATTTGGAGCATATATAGGGCTTATATTTGCTGTAGTATGTGTGCTTACCATAAAGGTGAAAGCTGCATTGCATCAAGAAGTAATATGGCTGGGCTACAAAAAAATATTTTCTAATCTCACATCTTCCCACTCTCAGACTCAAGAGATAACTTTCTGCCTAATATTTTACTTAACTCACCAGGCACATCAGTCTGCTGTATGACTTTTTCTTGTCTTTGGATTAAACAAAAAAAATGATTCGAATTCTGCTGGTGTCTATGTCAATGGTCTTGTATAGTGGTAAGTGGCCATGCATTTTTAGTATTATTTGACATTTATTCCTAAATACTATTTTAAGTATGTATATTTGGAAACAATCCCTTAGGAGCTCACCTTCTGTCTACTCCAACCTACTTGTTCAAGACTCAAACTATGGAGTAGTTATAAAACATTTTTCTCATGACTTTTAGTGAAGCTGGAAAAAAAAAATTGCAACTTCCCTTCTGCTAGCATTTGGTCATTATTAAAGGCCTTTAAATTCAAAAAAGTCACAAATTACATATAAAGAGATTCTGTTCATTAAATACATGTCTATTGTCTAAATTCTCCAAACCATTCATTGCATCCTGAAATATAATTCATGTTCAGTTAAAGCTCCTCTTTCAATTTTTGCTTTGAATAGGGTTTTTTTCTTCATATAACTCTAGAATTTATTGTCATGGGTGAATGAGCTTCCTAGTGACAGGCATGGGCAAACATTTCAAATATCTGCTGCTCCGTAGGAATGTCACTGAGAGCAGCAATGTGCAGCAGAAGTGTCAGACTCTCAGAAGGTTTAAAACCATTTCTAGTCGCTACATGAGGTTATTTCTAAAATGAAAAGAAAGCTCAGCACTTTGACATAGACAAAATCTTCAGTGACCTACTCTAACTTCACCAGTTTCCTCTTTCTAAGGGGCTGCATACATTAGAAGTCAGTAAAAAAAAAGGTATAACATAAAATGTATCGGAAAAATATATTAATTAAGCTGAACTTTAAAAATTCTACTGTATGAATAGAAATCAGTAAGAATACTGGCATTTCTCACAGCAGAATGCCAAATACCTACACCATTTATTCATAAAAAATAAATGTGTATTTAGTCTCCAGATGTAAAGGGGACTATATGTATTAATAATAACAAAGACTCTCAGAAATATCTTGACACTCAGAATGTTTGAAAGAGATTTCCCCCCATACCTCAAAAGGCTGTATCAAAGTTTTTGGATTCTTTTCCCACAGCTAAGCACAATCTGAGGACAAAGATTTAAAATGTTACCATTTTTAGTTTTGGAGAGGATTACTGATTTGCATTTATGTGGGATCTGTTCTGCTGATGTCTCCTTTATTGCTGAAGCAAGTATCTGCATGAGCTAGCACCTTTGTGAGGAGTTAATGTGATTTACCTTGAATAAATCAAATTGGTTGGGTTTGCTGCACCCTGTCTTTTCCTGGCACAATCAAGGTTTCTGCTCCCTGAGGATTATGACAACTGCGTCAGTGCCATGTAGTATGACATTTTAATTAGCTATGATTGCAAAAAAACAGCTGGAGGTGCACCGACTTTTTTTTTAATGGGCTTTTTTTAGATAACACTTTAGAAAAGCATTGTCAGAGTAGCAATGCCACAGACACAGTCCAGAAACATTTTTACATGTATCTGAATGTTGAAAGAAATTCTTTGGATGAGGCATGCAGTTGGATAGCACAAGAGCTGATGTCTCCTCAGGACGTGTGAGAAGTCATTTAGCAGGTTTTAGAGCTTGAGAAGCTGACCTCACCAGGATCTTCTGAGGTTGAAAGGACTGATTTTTTTAGTTCAGTCTTTCACTGGTGACCAACGTAGGAACATTAGCCCCAAAAGACATGATAGCAAAATAAGAAAAGATAATAATTCATCCAGAAAGTATAGATTGATTTGTCTCTCCCCTCACAATGAAAAAAATATATAATTATGTTTGTTGAGAAGAACTAAGTGTAATTGGAGAATGCTGGAGCAATCACAACTTCCAGTGGTTCTGCAACATGGCCTTATCAATTCTCTTCTCTGTCTCATTTCAATTCAACAGGAATTTCACGTTTTCCAAAATTTTGCTGAAAGGACTAAATGACCAATGGTTATTCGTCAACAGACACTTGAGTTTGAGCCATGGCATTATGCAATGTTTCAAAACCTGGAGTAACATTTGAGGAACCAGTAGAAACATTTGGGAAATACAAGTACTTGGGCAACTAAAGCAGTTTTATACAATTCTACAAGTTTATCTTAATAAGTGCTTCTGTTCAGAAGAGCACGGGAATACAAGGCTTAGCACACTCTCACTAGAAATAACTAAGTTTAACAGAGAACAGATTTTATTTATTTTTTTTTTCATTTTAAGCCATTGTGATTTACCAGCATGTTTCTGGGATTTCTTGGGTGCTTTTAGAGCTAAGCTAATGTTTTAATGGCTTTGATAAACCAGCTGGCTAGTGTAGAAAAGTACTGAAAATGCTTGTAGTGAATGTGTCAAAATGGATTGCATGTTGTTGTGATGGTTTTTTTCCATTTGTTCCCTTTTTCTTCTCAAATCTGTTTGCTGATGTAGGTGGCCAAGAATTGGAGCCACCAGAATTTCTGCCAGAGCTTCTTAACACACCGGCAAGAGTACTGTGTAAGGATGGTTTAAGTTTTACTTTCTACAATATCGCATGGCGGTGGGGAATCGCTGTTATTCCAGAAGCATTGCAGAGAAGCGTGCACTTGGCAAAATCCTAGCAACGCTTATCTCAAGATGGTTTAACAACCAAAGCAAGTCCAGGGCACTCCGGGGACAGTTCTTGCCACCTAATTTTTTAAAAGAAGTGTATCTTTTTTTCCATTTAGACAATGCCACATTATTCAATGGAGTCTTTCAAAACGTTGAAAGTGTTGCATTATTTTTTGGTAAGTATGTCTTCCAGTTGCACTTGAGCACTGAATTGAAATCCCATGGGCTTTGCTTTTATGTATACTGAAAAGGAACAGGGATTTTTGAGTCTGTAGGTTTCCCTGGAGACTACCTTAATACTGAATACTGCTAAATGTCAAGCATTGCTCGATGCCACTGTGTTACTGCCTTGTTTAAGCTCTGCATTCAGGTGAATGTCACCCATGTGTGACCCATGCCTGGTAAATCCTCTTAGGTTTAACATGCATTTTATGGCTGTTTTCTTTCCAGACTGCCTGGGCTCTCATTTCACCTGGTTACAGTCCATCTTCACAAACTTTCCTGCCCTCCTCAACTTTGTGAACAAAATGAAGTGTGCTACTGGGTTTTGTCCCAGGGATTTTGAAGACTATGGTTGCTCTTGCCGGTTTGAGATGGAAGGGCTCCCTGTGGATGAAGCCGATGAGTAAGTCTTATCCATGAGACATCCTCTTCTGCCCTGACTGGCTGTCAATAGCCTCATGCTCTGATGACTTGAAGCATAACTCTTGCCTAAATGATTTAAGGACAGTTGTAAAAAATTGGAAGGTGTATTCAGAGGGTAAATAAGTCCAATACCACGTATCTTTTGAATCCAGTCGTCACTTAGTTGCAACCAAAATATCTGATATGACCTACAAAAGATAACTTCAGCTCTGGCTTGTGAGCCCTCTTCTGTGCTATTCCTACCTGCTGGTGAAAAATATCTCCTTGCTGGGCCAACAGCCAGTACCAGTTGCCTTACAGCATGGCTTGAAAATAGATGTAGTCAAGGTGGGCATAATCTACAGCATGCAATGGTCCACCTGCTTCTTTTTAATCATAGCTCAGAGTCTCTATTTCTCCACATTTCAGTGTGGAGAAATACTCCCATCCTACAGTTAAAAGCAGAGTCCCCCCGCACCTGCATATAATTCCACCAGTTCAAGTCTGGTGGCACAGCTGGTTTAAACTGGATGCAGAGTGGTCACCAATGCAATAGAATAAGTAAACATCATACCCATCTCCTTGACATATATTACCCAAAAGTCTCTAAATCATTTGTGAACAAAACCACATTCATTTCTTTGTATGGGGAAATTCTGTCTCACAAATTGATGCCAAAAACTACAGGGCCTGTTAATAAGGTGAGTGGGAGAACTTTGATCTGAGCAGCTTGGTGGGTTTACAGTCTTACCAAACTGTTGGTATTGACAGCTGTGTAAAGCACCAGCAGTGTAAGCTCATAGAGGCCTAAAATGAAAATGTTGGCATCTGAGGGAAATTTAAGCATTAGTAGAATCAGGTCACACCTAAGTATGACGTCAAGTGGAAGTTAGGAGCTTAAGTAGATCTTGAATATCTGTGTACATGCTGAGGTCATAAGACACTTGGGCATTCAGGCACAGAGAAGGACAAAGTAGCTCGATGGCTTTGCCCAGTACCATGCACCAGGAACAAGCTCATTCAACCTCCAGTCTGTGCTTCAGAGGGACACAGCTCCAAACCCTGACTTTGCTAGAGACAAAAAATGTAATCTCGGGGGAGGACAATCAAATGGCTGTTTACTTGTGTCAGCAAGAGGTGGAAAATGAAAGAGCATCAAGATTCATCCATGTCTAAATAGAAAGAACTTTTTCCAACAGTGTAATATAAAGTATTAATTCCCTGAGTGAAGACAGCAATGGATCAGAAATGGCTAATGCCTATAGATAGGTGGAAATTAATCCATCCAGTTTCCAGCATGGGATGGCTGGGAAAATGAAGATCTAACCCTGCTGGTGGAAAATAAAAAAAAGCCACGGCACTTCTAATGAAAGGTTTTCTGAACAATCGTGATGACATGCTGAAATGAGAGCTCTGGTCAGTTCAATGGATTGATACATGAAGAGCTGAGCACCTGGGCTTTCATTTCATTCAGCTTCGTTTTAACATAAAGCAGCATAAATACAGAAACAGCAGAACGATCTATCAGCAGTTTCGTCCTGAGAAAAGGCCACAGAGTCACTTTGTGTTTACAAATTGCTTAGCAGTCCCGCGGTGAGGTTTTCTGAGCAGCCTCACTGCAGTTTGCAGGAAACGAGGACCGATTATTGTTTGGACACTGACCCAGATATGGCCTTAGTCCAAGAGAGCCTCCAAACAGATGGCTGCTATGTGTCTTTCTCAGACACTGTTCCCACAGTGCTGCAGTGTTTTCACTAACTTTATTTCTTAGAAACTAGTTTTGCAAACCTGATTTTGTCACTGTCATTTCTGTTCCATAAAAGAGGGCTGAAGATCTCACTGTAGGTTTTAAAGGCATTGGGAAATGTCTGTCCATAAGCCCAACCTTGTCCCTCTTCCCAGAGCAGCTAATCATCACATCTAAATTAGGAGACTCCTAATTTAGGTAGACTCTAAATTAGTCTACCTCCATAGTCCATGGGACAAGAAAAGCATGTCCAGAGGACAATCCATGTCTTACAATACCCTGCTTGCAAAGGGAAGGCAAGTAAATTTTCTGATTAACAGTTGCATTAGGTGTTAATGTAGTTGTGATGCACTAAGCTAACAAAATCCGCAGGATGTTTGTATTACACTAATTATGTAGTTAAAGGAGCTTTCAGGTGCTGACACCTTGCTACATCTCCGGCAGACAGGAGTGGGTCTGGAGACATTTCATGACCTTTACATGTAAAACCCTGTTTCTGATGGAGCTTGCAAACTGCAGCCTCACCTCTTTGGAGCTTAAAGTCAGCTCCTTACATTGTGGATTGCAGGTTAATCCTTCCTGGTGGTTTTTTTAGGTGTTAACAGCTTTGAATTTAGCAGGGTACAGACCAATGGCAATTCAACAACAGACTCATGTTCTTGAGTCCATTTCTCTGAAATGAGGATATTTCAACCTAAATCTAACTGAGCCTCTGCTTAATTTATGTGACAATTTTATATGGTGTAAATGATGACTGAATGTTTTACTGGTGTTTTGTTTATAGCTGATATCAGCGCACACAGATGTAGCTATAATGTAGAAGTAGATGGCTTGCCTATTCAGAAACAGCTGAAGGGAAGGGGTGATTGATTAAAAGCTTGTTGCTTTATTTGGCTTTTCATTGCTATTTACAGCTAACATGGCCATGAAGGTGTTTGGGGTTTGCATGACAGCAGGGATGAAGGAAAATACGAGGTTTCTCACAGCTTTTGCTGTGTGGTGGTAGGAGACAGCTGCATTACTCTGGTGTGTGAAACATACCCATGGCCTCTTCCCTTGGCTAAGTGGTGCATTTTAATTCTGATAATTTCATGGAAGAGAAAGTACAAGAAACAGAGGATAACACTGCACACATCTAGACAGTCCCAATGAGACACAGGGATTCACAAGGTGCTTCAGGGACATTAAACCTCCATGAGTGCTGAGTCCTGTGTGGCTCTCCAAATCTGCAGTGAGAAAGGTTGTGGCAGGGCTGGGGCCAAGACTCCTAGAGCTGAGCTGTGGGGCACTGTCTGACAGTGAGCTAATAGTGCTCTGGATGGATATCTGGGGTCTGATAGCGGATTTGTCATTGAAACTGCCTGTAGAGTCCTTGTAAGAACCCAGGTACTGTGGTAGGAGAGAAATGTAAGCGTGGTCTTCCACAGCATGCAGACCTGCTCCCACCACTGAGGTCTGCATCCAGCTGTACTCATCCCATCAGACTGATTCAGGGAAAAACAGTACTGAGACTTTCTTGTGTCTAGGGACCACACCAAGGACCCCTTTTTCTCTTTTGGCATCTTTTGCATACTTGTGTAAGAGCGACACTGAAGCACTGCAGTCTGATCTTGAACTGAAGCTAAATCATGTAATCTTTGTGTTATTTCATTTTTAAGCTGTTGTTTCCAGCACCGCAAATGCTACGATGAAGCAATGGAGATGGAGTGCACATGGGACCCTTCGAAGATTTCTACAGATGTCAGCTGCTCTACTGAAAACCTGACGTGTGGTAAGATTCATCTATCACAAGAGCATGATACTGGAGCCTCACCATGCAGAGAAGTTCATTCTGCTCTGTCTACCAGAAGCCAAACACAAATTGAGCAGAAACCTCCTCCACATGTGGATTCTTGAGGGCTTAAGTGTTCTGCTCAGAGTGGAGTGGAAATAGGGATACATGGATGCATCAAAGCCCAATGAGGCAGGAAAATTGAAGTTAAATAACTCCCCTTGCTGAGTTTTCCCTGAATTTGCAGGACCACTAAGCATTGCTTGAGATATCTCCACACATCAGAAATGCAGAGCATACTGGGGAAAGACCTGAAAAATTGTTCCTTTCTGAGGCTTCAAGGCCTGATTTTCATATACTTTGAGAGATCAAATTCTTTCTTCAGAGGGTCGTGTACACTCCTCAGATACCACAGTACCCCCAACAAGGGCAGAGACCATGAAGTTACAATAGAAGCAACCCCATGCAATACTAACACAGTCCTGGCAAGTGTGGAGTGGAGCTCTCTAATGCCTAATCATTTTTAATACAAAATTTCTGCAAGTATTAACTCTCAGAAAAGATCATCTGCTAGAAAATGATTTGAGGATACCAGAAAAGAAGAGTAGAGTCCACAAACGTAAAGCTTGTTTAAGCAACAATTTGATCCAGTTTCCTTCTCTTGTTCCAAATGAAAACCATCTTTGTTCTTTTAGGCCAGTCTATGAAGATGCAAGTGCATTTTAAATATTAATAATTGTCTTCCAGCTCATCTCATACTTATAATCAGAAAATATTTTTGTTCAAACTAAAATAAAGGAAAAAGAAGATTAGTCCCTATAAAAAATATGAAACATAAGTGTGACAGCTACAAAAGGTCAATGTTTTTTTGAAACCCTGCGAGGCAGAAGATTTTGAAGTGGGAAAATACTATTTCCTGGGAAACTGTTTCATGTCCTTTATAAGGAACAAAACACATCTTATGTGAAAGGCTTGGCTTGTGGACTACCAATTCCTGAGGTTAGGAGGAGAACTTTAATGAGATTTGTGAAATGCCAAACTCAGTATCAGCTGGATTGTTTTCCATGGAAAAGCCAGAGGTAACAAAGTGCTCTGCTGCAATCCTCACCACTCTGCAGGACAAACCAGCACAGGTGCCCATGCCTGCAGTCGATTGCCAGCCGTACCAGGCTACGTTGGGTGGCCTTTCAAAAGAAAATACTGTGTTTTCTTTTGAAAACTATGAAATTGACTGTACGAGTTGAGTGGCTTTAGTGTGAAGAAGCACAGTATAAATAGGTTTTTGCTAATGAATATAGACACAAACCTTACAGAGAGGAAAAGCAGGAGGCAGAAAAAGATATTTCAGTAGTACCTTGTTTGGATTTTCCAGATTCTGGGGATCCCTGTGAACAGTTCCTCTGCAACTGCGACAAAGATGCCATTGAATGCTTTGTGAACGCACGCATTAACTCTTCCTTGAACAGGCTGGATGTCTCTTTCTGCCCATCTCCAGTTACAGGTAACATCCTCTCCCTCCTCCTCTTGCCTTTTTTTCTGCTGGCATCAATTTGACCCAACAAGAATGAAGCAGCAGCTGGATGGTGTCCTGCACTAAATCTGGCAGTCTATCCCATTCTCCATTTCGTGTGTCCTTTCCATTTACTGCTACTCGAGTGAATACCAAGAGAGAAGAAGGAGGTGGACTAATTGCCACCCTGGAGCAAGTCCAGGAGAGGTGACCAAGCTGGTGAGGGGGCTGATGAAAGAGGAGGAGTCTCAAGGGAGATCTCTTTTCCATCCTTAATACCTACTGGGGCATGTAGAGAAGATGGAGCCAAAGTCTTCCTGAAGGTGCACAGAGTCAGGACGGGAGGCAAGAGACAGAACCAAACCAGGAAAATTCCAGTTAGATATGAAAAATTTATTTGTTTTTTAGGAGGCTTTTGCCAGCCTGGATGATTGGGAAATATTTGGAGTGACTGTTACCTACTGAGGTCACCAGCAGAAAAAAACTGAAAATTTGCTAGCTCAAATCTCCCCTTAAATCCTGCAAAAAATAACTGGAAAGGCAAAAATAGATGTACCCTGCTCTGTTATTTGGTTTCGGTCTTGGGAGGAAAAATCCTCTCTAGAGATGAAGGGGATATTTATCTCCATTGTCATACACTGCTTTGTGCTCTGCAGCTGAAATTACAGCCTTGTAAGACTGAATACCTGTCCTGTGGGAATGGGGCTGGATTAAAAACTTAATTCGTATGGATTGCAACCGGAGTATGGCAGGGGGAGACCTTTGAACTCCCAGCTGAGACAGACATGAGGAAGCAGTGCTCAATGTTTTTCTAATCTCTTGGCTCATATTCCCACATCCCAGTGCTAAGCACAGATGCACACATCTATCTTGTGCTCTGGGTGCCTGCACCCCCTCACAAGTAGGGCAAGGGAGAATAAATTGCCACAGGAAAGTTAGCATCAAAGCCAGAAAATTGTTTTGTGTAAGCCAGTAATCTTTCACTGGGATCAGATGGCTCTCATATAAAGTATGGCAGTTCCAACACATTACAAATAAAGAGGGAATTGTTAGGTGTTAACAGGAAAATCATGCTGGTTTTACCACTGCTGATACAGAGATGTTCAATTTTAGCTCACTGAATAGCTCCACTAATTTTAGGCTCCTGATTATATTTCTTAATGGAAAAAAAATCCTTTGAATGAAACATTTTTATTTAGTGTTCACTCATGCTATTATCATTCTGTGTAGCTGTTCTGTCCAGGTCAGGCTTTGAAAAAAAAAAATCCTATCTGACTAATTTCTAGGAAAAGGATTTTGGTAGTCTTCATTACAGAGAAAAATGTGAATGAAATGGGGATATATTTGTCCAGACCTTTGCTTCAATACAAATAAATTCAGTGAACGCCTGATTTGTTGTAATATTCAGATTAATCAGTGAAAAATGCCCTTCTCACACTTTAGTCTAGAGAGAGCTTTCTTTTTTTCAGAAACAACCAGCAAGAGAGAGCTGACAACACTTCACATGGAGGGTATGTCCTCATCTCTGTGATTCTTTGGCTCTGCTATATATAATCAAGATAAATTTATACTCGGAAAAATAACACAAGTATTTTGGAATATATGAATTCCTTTCTGAGAAGCAAAGACAAGTTTTACAAGATGTCAGAATACGAAAGGAAGAGAAATAAACCCTAATAAACTAAAGCGCCATTTTTGTGACAAGCTTTTACACAGGCGCAGAGGAAAATCTCAGCCAAGTGACTCCTTTTTTGGAGACGGAATCCCACAGAGACCCCTGAATCTCATTTAGAAATAAGAAGAAACACACTAAAAGCATCTTTAAAATATTTTCAGATGGATCTTTTTCTATTTTGCATACACACTTAAGGTCCTGCTTCAGCAACATTTCTAGTCTAGTGTCTGGATTTAAATACATAAGATTTATGTTTAAATGTTTAATCCTTATCCTCATATTTTTACTAAAGGCCACATCTTTAAGTACCTGCTGAAATGGGCATTTAAAGAAAGCAAATTGCTAACCACTTTCTCTTGCTTAGGTAGAAACTATTTGTGATAGAGACTGAGGGCTTTTTTTTTTTTCCTTTTTAATCTGTACATCACTGAGTAGAATTTATTATCAGCAGTGAACAAACACTAAGGTAGGATTTTAATACTGTTACCATAATTATCAATAATTAGGTTTGTATTTGATATATTTATATCATATAATAACCCCATAAAAAAGCACAATAGTAATAATGTTTAGAAATAAGTTCTATTTTAATGAGCATCCTAAGCCATGACTCTGCAGTAAGGATGCTCTTATTTTTGCAGAGTTCCTTCATCGTGGGACTGACAAACCAAAATCTGCAACTGCATCCGTGGAGGAAGGTTTGCAACTTACAGTGCAAGCAGCGCTGTTTTCAGCTCCCAAAAGATGAAAGAATAGAATACAAGAATAAGCTGCTCGATTTCTTTCTGCCCTTGTAAAAAGACTGATAAAAAAGTAGACATAATGTTTTGGTGATTGAATTCCAGATTGAATGAGAAGGTGCAATTTTTCAATTTGGGCATGCAATGAGCTTACCCAGTGTTTATAGTAAGTTTTCCAAGGGCTGAGAATGAGCACAAAACCTGTTTGCCTCCAAACAGGCTTTTTTTTCCCTGGGAACACAGGTTTCAGCAGGCAAGCTGCTTGGCAGGGACATGCTGCGTGGGTGTCTATCACTGGACCCACAGCTCTTTGCATATTTGTTGTTTTTAAAGAGTTGTTTAATTCTACAAGATCAAGGAGTAGTGTGAGCAAAGATTGTGCATTGTTGTAAATGAACCAGCAGTTGCGTGGTCTATTTATTTGCTATGTAGAGATCCAGGTTGAGGTCCTTCTCACTCTGGTGCCTCCTGGGTGAGTTCCTAAACCACAAGACCAAGTGGTTTTTTGAGAATCTTTATTTTTTTCTGCTACAATCAATGTTTATCTCATTCAGGAATGTGTGCTTGCAAAACCTCATTGCTGCAATATAAGAAAACTGTTCTCTTTCTGCCTACGTGGTGTGCACTAGCACACACGAGGCCATGGACAGAAGTCATCCAAGGCCATCATCTAGGACAGTACATGTAGCTAGTGACAGGACAAGGAGTAATGGCCTCAGGTTGCACCAGGGGAGGTTTAGGTTGGATATTAGGAGGAATTTCTTTACCAAAAGGGTTGTCAAGCACTGGAACAGGCTGCCCTGGGAGGTGGTGGAGTCACCATCCCTGGAGGTGTTTAAAAAACGAGTAGATGTGCTTATGGCCTAGTGGTGGACTTAGTAGGGCTGGTTCGATGGTTGAACTTGATGATCTTAAAGGTTCTTTCCAACCAAAACCATTCTATGATTCTATGATTTTATGTATTAAGTAAGGGTCAAGTCATACAGTAGAGAAATAGAGAAGAAAACCAGTCTTGGACCATCCACTGCCAAATGTAGCTGATACGCTCTTGTAATGTGGCCCCACCACAAGCAAAGCCACACTGTCATGTGCAGAGACCTCATATCTGCCAAGCACACCAGTAACATGCACTGGATGGGTGCAGCCAAACTTTTGCTCAACTCGGAGAAACACAGCAGTTATTTTGTAGGAGTGGGGAGAGGTGGAATGTTGCTGGTTTTGAGAACTTAAGCACCCATTTTCAAACTCTATTGTGCTCCTCTGTGTTTCTCAAAGTGTGAATATGAAATAATGAAAAACCTTGTGGGAATTTTTTTCTTTATTTTTCCTTTTTTTTTTTTTAAGAAACAACACTTCAGACTTTAACAGGTTGGGTTTTGGGGTTTTTTGGGGGGTTTTAGTTGGTTGGTTGTGGTTTTTTTGTTTTTGTTTTTCTTAAAAAAGTGCCACATGCATAGATGAACCTATCTGAAAAGGCTTTTTGCCAAGTGTAAGTGCTGGCTGTTCCTTCTACCTCTCCTATATTATCAAGGTCATTTTTTTACCAGGTATTTCTTGTTCTCACATAAAATCAGCTCTAGTCTTGGTTTGTGTTTTTCTAGCTGCTTCTGAGAGGCTTGGTAATAGAAATCTGAGAACCTCTGAGGGATTGAGTGCACCTGTATTTGCACATCTGTAGCAATCTTTTACTTCCTGAAAAAAACAATTACTCATGGTCTCTAAAGGGGCATATTTCATCATAAGGCTCAAAATATTGCCGAGGGATAAAAACCTGTATAAGAATTTTAGAAAGCTGAAAATATATCACAGATAACATATCTAGTCAGACATTGGAGGAACTATTTGGATAACCATTTACCATTTAACTGGTTGACTCCCTATTTAAACCCAGAGCTTCACTATTGACAACCATGGGAACTGCATTAATCCAAAGCTAAGTATGACTCAGAAACTTGTTCAAAGGCGAAGACATCACAGCATCCTGATAACAGACAAAAAGATGCAGAGCTTATAACTTTTATAATATTATATGTTTAGAACTTACAGAAATGTACCTGATGATAAATGAAAATAAGTTTATCAGGTAAAGAAATAAATTAGAGTTTAGGGAAGTATTTAGGCTTGTAGCTACCCATCTGCACATGACTTTTGATGCAGGCAAACACAAGTTGTTCACGAGAAATGTGGCATCCTTCTGTGCACAACGGTGAGATTCTAGACCTAATTTTTTTAGAGTATTTGTCTGTCAAATGGATTTACTAATGAATTTGCTACTTCAGTCATACTTGCCTCTTTGTTAGCAATGAGATTATTTTATCTGTATCACTTTGTCTACAACACTCAATGAACTGCTGAGAAAAACAAGTAAATCTCTTTACATGAAATGCCTGGGTCTTCCAGCTTTGCTGAAAAAGCTCTTCTCAGCAGCTTGGCTTTTCATGAGTCTGTGATGGCAACTTGTGTTCCAAGTTTACATTTTCTGTCTTCAACAGTGGTATCTTTTGAGCCCAGTGAGATGCTCCTAGGGACTTCCAAAGCCAGAGGTAAGAGTCCAATGATTCTGTCACTGATGAACCAGGCACTCCTGACTCCAGGTGAAAATGGATTTTGATTTATGAAGCTCTGTGGTATCACAGGCAAAAACCTACAGCTGAGGATCTCTGGATAACACCTCTAGTTCTTCTGCTGACTTGCACATCCTGCAGCAAAGCACCCTGTTTCTCCTAATTACCTTCTTTATAAAACAAGGCTAATAGTGATGTTTGGTTAAGTTTTATTATGTTTTTAGTGAAATTCACTCCAGAAACGCTTTGCAGAAATACAGCAGGCAGGTCACTGCCACAATGCCTCTGTTTTTTACAGTTACCACAAGGGACCACCGAGGTACAGCTCCTGCTCCCCCTGCCCATGCAATACAAGGTCAGTGACTCTCAGCTTTCCTTTTCCTTTGGCTGACACAGCAATACCTCATCTAACAGCATCGCAGTTAAAAATCCATGCGTGGTGACGACAGGGCTGCTGGAGAATCAAATTTAGATCAGCGCCAGATAGCAGATACACAAACAATAAAACCGAGCTGAGAAGTATTAGCTGTTCACTGCCTCCAGCCACTCATTTGCACTCCTCATCCAAGTATTTGTGAAAACCTCTTCACATAAGGCTTTTTGATATAATGGCGTATCCTTTAAATTACATTCATAGCATCTGTAGCCAGAAGGGTTCATTTTGATTTTGCCTCCTTCTTTATTATATAGAATTTCATGGAATTTTTTTTCCCAGTCTAAAACCTGTTTCAGCTTTTGCAGTTGCTACTGTGTTGAGCGCAGCCACTCCAGGAGCTGCAGCCAGAAGTGGAGCACCTTGGTAGACTTGGAAGTTTTCAGTGGCCCCTTTTCTGCAGACTGAAATGCACCAGAAAAATGTCAAGGAACACTGACTATGGAGAGCTGAAAGCAGTGATTTTTTGACTCTGATTACACTGTCTGAACAGTATCCATGTCTCCCACTCCAAAACAGAAATTTGCCATTGCTGCACTAAGCACTGCTCAAAAATCACTAAATGTTCTCCTCCATTAACTTCAATGTATCAGAAAATGCTTGTTGTGTTGGAGGTCTGCATGGCTGCCACAAGATTATTTGTAATATCTATTCTTAGCTAAGTGCAGAATTCCCCAAACTCCAGTTTTATTTTCTATGTCTAGCAGGAATTGCTTTCATTTCAACACATCAGGGCCAGAAAACGTGCACCTTGATGAGCTACTAAAATTAGTGTGATGCTATTGATCCCTTTCTGCAACCTTTCATGGGCTTTGTTGGGTTCTTAGCAGTAATTTCATTTTTTTTTAATCTATTCTGTTATCCTCTGACAGGTTATTTTGAACACATACTAAAAGCAGAACATCAGAGGGACAAATTTAATGAATTTGAGTTTAATCCAATTAATAAGTTCAACCAAGGAATTCAAAAGGAAAGGCCTGAAAAATATGGAGACATGTTCACTAGGATTTTTGAAGTATTTTGTTTATGAAATGCCACATTTTTCATACAGACATTTAGAAAAAATGAAATCATTTTATTTCCATTTGATAACAGTGCTTTCATTTACAAGTTAGCCTATATAAGAAAGGATGAAAAATAAAGAAAAAATATGTTAAGTAATCCCCAAATTAAACAAAACGTTTCTACACAACAATAAAGCTTCAGATAATCTAAAAATAAATACCAATTAAACTTTTAGGATAAAGAATCTCCTTAAAATTCTGTTTCTATTCAACCTTAATGTATCTTCCCCTTGATATTCCCTTGTGGTTACAACACAGTAAATCATTCAGTTGTCCAGCTCTGCATCAGCCAGATAATTTTCTGCCTTCACTGATGTTGTTCTCGTTTTGGTACCCCCATGTGAACAGACACTTTTTTTAAAGCAATTTACTCAGAAAATGATATCTCATGACATCTCACCTGCACTTCTCTCAGTATGGCTGATTAACCAGCAGCCTGTATTATTTTCAGCAACAATTTTACCTCACTATGCAACATTTTTAAAAAAAATAATCACCAATTAAACTGGTCATATTTAACCAGCATCTTTTTTTCTGAAAGGCAAGATGTGAAGAAATGGCCAGTGTGGACACTCTTTGCTTTTCCAATTTTCATCTTGAATGTTTTTGTTCTCTGTGACCATCAATTCACACCAGTTCAGCCTGAGGATATTACTCTGACCAGTTATCTAAAATTAAAATCTTGCTGTTTATTTTCCATGTCTTCTTCTGCTTCCCTCTTTCTGCCTATTCAGAAGAGGGTGGATTTATGGAAGCTGTGGTGCCAGAGGAAGTGATAACCATCTCCCCGGCCTCATTGTCAGGTGATGTTAACTCAGTGCAAGTCAAAATTGTCCCCACTGAGAAGATTTTTGCAGTCACATCCTCAAGGACAAAAGGAAAAGGCAAGTGAAAAGTAAATTACACCTATTCTAATTTACAGCATTCCCCCATCCTGTTCATAGCTATCCGTGGATTCAGCATTTCTCATAGATATGTAGAATAACAGTATTTTCTCCCTAAATCTGAATAGATTACACTGAATACATGGTGCACAAAACTGACTGCACTGGAAGGGGCAGTTCACTGTCAAACACTGACCAGGGAACCTTAACTAACCTTTAATGAATTCTTCAAACTATGAATTAAGCAAATCTTAAAAGTCTGCCAATTGATTATGGTTCAGAATATGCACTTTTGGACACATTACTGAAAAAAAGAGTTTATTCTACCTTTGCAAGTCCAATCTCTGCATATTTCACCTCCAGAGACAAGCTCTGCCAGGGGTGTCCAGAGCACAGCTTCTTCTGGAATAGCTCTGGAAATGGTGGTGTCTGACACAGGACCCCATGAACCAGCAGGAAAAGGTAAATGAAGTTTTTTTTTCCAGTTATCTCTAAAGAAATATTCAGTTAACTCTATATTAAAAGATAGGTATATATTACATATAAAGATTATAGGTATATATTACTTATAAAGATTATAGGTATTCTGAACCAGTTACACAAGCACATATGTATCAGTATTTGTAATATTTAAATATTCCCTCCCCACACACTTAGGCTGTCTTGCTGAGCAGTATCATAAGAGCTACAGTTCATGGACTGGAGCAATAGCAAAATGTTGTCTTTAACAGTTTCTGATAGCTATGAAAATACTTCTGTCATCTCAAGAAAACCCCCAACCAGTGAAAGCATGATGTGCCAAATAACACTTTTTTGTCTTGCAGTATGTGAGCAGTTAACATTTCTGCAAGAGAGAGAAAATGGAAGAGGCAAGAGGGCGCTGCCCCAGCTAGGAGAAATGCTGTTCTGTTTAACTGAGCGATGCCCAGAGGAGTTTGAATCTTATGGTTGCTACTGTGGCCAAGAAGGAAGAGGTTTTCCTACTGATGCCCTGGACAGGTGCGGGCTCTTCTACAGTCTGCCATTCACCGTGGGTATCACTGGGGTGCCTATGGACCAACAAGGATCAGTATCTCTCTTGTTGGGCCTTGTATAGCTACACATCAGCAGTCAGGCCACATTTTGAAAAAAACAGTCCACTTAAATAAATAAACCACTAAACACTCTAATGTCACTAAGGCATTCTATTACTGCATCAAAGTTTTGGAGAGGACTTACTAACTCAATTAAAAGAAGAAAGGAGAAAGATGAGAAGCAAGTGCAGTATACAGCAGACATGATTTTCCTACGCTTGCACTACACGTGATCAAGTAGGCGAGACGAGGGCTGGCCAAGGCTCTGACAATTGTGGTACAGTTCTCAGATTTCCAGCCAACAATATTTGAACACTTGAGGACACTTGTCACAGCAGATTAGGTTGCAGTTACCATTGCAATTATGTGTCTTAAAATTAGAACAAAAAAAAGCCCTAAAAAACTATAGCACTGTAAAACATATGATATCAAGGGGATGAAGGAGGTAGTGAAAGTAGGAACAGGTATAGGAGAGGGCTAGGAGCAATTTGGGGTGCTTTTGTTCTTCTTTATGGAAAAGATTTTTCCATGATAAGAAAAGTAAAAATTCCAACTTTTAATGGGCATTAAAAATAAAGGTATAAAATAATTGCTAGCAGTCTGTGATGCAAAAAGAGTAACTATTTTTCATTTACATCTGCTGTTTATTTTAGGTGCTGCTTCTCTCATCATTGCTGTATGGAACAAGTTATGAAACTTGGATGTCATACAGAAAGAAGTTCGAGGTCTGAAGTTGTATGTTCTGATCACAAGCCAAAATGTAAGTGTGGGTCAGAGGAAATTTCTCATGTCCTGATAACAGTGTATTGAAGCATCACAGACTGAATGCCACCGAGCCTGTGAGCTGCTAGGGCTGAGCATGGAGGGAGGCAGAAAAATTTGGCTTACAAAATGTTAGCAATGCTTACTGTAAAATCATAATAAAATAATAATTATCACATCACTGTGTATGATGTGACCAGGTCAGTCTCAGAATACAACACTCAGACATTTTATGGTTGTAAACAGAAGACAGCTGTTGGTGTCCACATTCACAAATTTAGCTAAAGCCAGTTGGACCTTCAGCTGCCCAGCCCCTTGGTATCAGGCTTATATTTAGATGATTGAAGGTGAATTTGGAGACTGAATTTCAAGGTAGATATGAAAATTTTATTTTTAAAAGCTTACCTGCCCATGGCAAATTACACATTGACTAACGGTAACTGCTCCCAAGTATTAATTCTGAAACTTCTCTTTAAGGTATTGGTTGGAGCATATGTGAGAAACTGCTGTGTGCTTGTGATGAGGCAGCAGCTGAGTGCATGGCTGCTGCCTTCTTCAACGAAAGCCTGAAGTTTCCACACCAGCATGAGTGCAAAGAGGGGAAGGTCTCCTGCCAAAATGCCCCTTACGAAAGGCCTTCAATTGGCACAGAAACAGGCACCGGTATTTCCAGCTCCGAGGAGAGCAGTGAGGAGGAAGGTCCACCCCGGAGTGTACTGAGAAGAGCAAAGAGAGGGACACACCGTCCTGTTGGAAACTCCAAAAGCATCCAAGGTGAAGGCAGATAACCCACCACATTGTGCTTGAGAAACAGCATGGAGACTTCCAAAGTCAGCCATGGTGTACCTTACTCCTATCACTCTACACCCTGCCTTACACTTTCTAGCACACAAATGACGTAATCCTAGACTAGGTATTAAATTTTAAGCTGTATAATGCCTTACCATAGTGAAGTCGGCACTATGGACCACCTGTTTAGGTCAGATATTACCGTAAAGAATTATTTGACAGTATTCTGTATAATTTAATTTGATTTCTATGTGAAAACCGTTCTGATCAAAGACTGGTTTTTGTTAACTGTGTAGTTGGTTCAGAGTGGATCTTGCTGACCAGGGCTAAGTATTTCAGGTTTTTAATTAAACCAATCTGCAACGACTCCAACTCCCTTCGCAGACATTCTTCCTTTACTGAGCTTAGCAGCAAACACTCAAAAGAAAAGCTAAGGTAATTACATGAAAATGAGTTCCTTCTTCCCTTTCTATACAACTGTATTTTCAACCCATAGTTTCTGCTGGTCAATCAGAAGATGACAGTAAAATACATATTCCTTGCCCCAAAGCTGTGTACTATGCACGGTTATCTCCAGTTTTGAGAGATTTCAGGATGTTAAAGGGAAGAAATTTGAAGGTTCTGCTTCCTAGGATCAACTAAAACGAACATATTCTGAAGTATTTAATGAAGAGCTGAAATATTGCTTTTTACTGAACCCAAGTTTGCTTGCTTTTATGATTTTACAAATTCACCACTCAGAAATTAACAGGTTACTAGACAACAGCAGTACCAAAGGATATACACATCCTTTTACTTGATAGGGGCTAATTTAGACTATGCTTTGATCATAAAATAGTGCCACAAAAACAACCAAAAAGCATCAGTGAAAAAAAACCAACCTAGAACATGAAATCTTTTTCTCTAAGGGATGGCAGAGAGGATAGCTAAGTGATGTGAGAAATGCTATCTGCAGCCAACAGTTCCATTAACGTCAATGATTCCCCCCATCATGCTACACAGAAAGTACATACTTCAGTACTTACACAAAATGCTTCAAATCTGCAAAACGCCCATCTTTGTCCAGTCCTGAGGATGAAAACTGCATTACACTGATATGTTTGCTCATTTCAGAACTTTCCTTTGGAACTTTAATCAACTTTAATCATCAGTGATGAATAAAAAATTAAATTTCACAGCATTTATAAATAAAAATGATTATTAAAAGGTCAGATAGCTAATTAGCTGAAATGGGGAAAACTGGCCTTTAAACAAGTGAATTAAGTGCATTTCTGCCTAATAACAACACAAGCTCAATCCTGTGATTAAGGATAACAGTGCTGCTGCTCCAAAGCCTACATTTAAAATACACATCCCTTTCTGCTGATTATTAGAAACTAGTATTACATTCATGTTTATGCAAATAACGCAGAGATATGCTGAAAAACTCACTCAGAGATATCCTGAAGTTTCTGATTGTGCAGATAGAGGTGAATCATTTGAATTGATCAAGTACCAGAGAAATTACAATATGAATATGCTGTTATTCAGACAACATTGTCATTACTTCCTTTGGGTTTTTTTCCAGTATCTCCTATTTCAGGAAGGACTTGACACCAAAGTTCTGTAATTACTACCATATGAATTGCGTTGATAACGAGAAGTCTTAACTACTCCAGCTATAATTAGCTCTATTTATTCATTCTCAGAGATCGGTGTTAAAATAATAAAAAATAGATGAGCAGATCAAGATGAGACATTTAGCATAGCTCTTTTTCTTTGTTCCCTCATTCTCACAGCAACTTTACACTATATCTTCCAAGGAATTGGGGCATAGCTGGCCAAAAGCTACTTGTTTCCTCAAAGTGAACAACTGATCTATTAATTACTAATCTAAAAAATAACCTACTTCATTAGACACTAATTTACTTATTTCAACTTTTTATGCACGTATTATTTGCCTGAAAGCTGATAAAGTATTAAAGATGTGGGAACATGAGTTCATGAACTTGACGTAATTCAGGATGGCATGAACTCTGAGAGCCAGGACTGTTTAGGTGTGCAGGTCATCTTGATCACAGCATCACTAAAACTGTGAGCAATGAATAAGTCTTTCAAATAAAGGTAACACTGTGAAGAAGCAAAACCTTCCAGACAGAAACTCCCCCAGCACCCAGAAAGTGGCTCTTAACCTTCGGTCACCTTCGTTTTGCCACATAACTGCAGCAGCTGCCACTTTTGTGCTTCCTTGTGTGCTCTCATGTGGTAGGGTGACAGAATCTCTTATCCATGTCTGCACATTCTCTTTAGATGTCATTTAAAATAATCTCCTAAATATGGCTACCATTTTATCCCCAGATTCTTTTGAGGTATCCATCATAAAAATCTTGCTCAGACCAACGTGAGCAACAAAACAGTTCAATGACCACATATCTTAATAGGAGGTTCTCAGATCCATGAGAAATCATAGAAAGAAGACGCCTGCTCTCCAAGATTTCCTAAATATACAGAGTTTTAACATCTGCAAAAATTAGGAACATAGGAGCAAGGGAAAACAAGATGAGAATATAATCTTCTATATATTAGGCTATATCTCAGGTCACCTTGCACAAAATAGAAAAAAAGAACTGTTCTTGCCACTTCTCTCAGGGTGCACTACTAAAACCGTTTAATAAATGAACGCTACCAACAAAACAGAGTAACAAACAGGATAACACTCAGCCCCATCAGATGGCAGCACTGTTTGTAAAACACTACCTGTGGGTGAGTTGTACAGAGATCTTCACACACATTGACAACTTTATCCCTTGAAATTGAATCTTCAAACCCAATACGCCTCCTACCCAGGGAGGCAGGCCTGAAAAGCAGAGCTTATTTATGGTCTTGAAGCTCATTTGCTATTAAGAAATGATTTTTGTATTGTTGCATTCTCAACTTTTGCTAGTTTTGGAAATAGCAATGATTTAATCACAAAAATAGTAATAATGATAGTAAAAATAGTAATAATGACCTCATTAATGCTTATAAATTTGTAAAGGGCGAGTGTCAGGAGGAAGGAGCCAGGTTCTGCTCAGTGACAGCAAATGACAGGACAAGCGGCAATGGGTGCAAGCTGGAGCATAGGAGGTTCAACCTGAACACGAGGAAAAACTTCTTTACTGTGAGGGTGACAGAGCACTGGCCCAGGCTGCCCAGAGAGGTTGTGGAGTCTCCTTTTCTGGAGACATTCAGAACCTGCCTGGACGCGTTCCTGTGTGACCTGGTCTGGGTGATCCTGCTCTGGCAGGGGAGTTGGACTGGGTGAGCTTTCCAGGTCCCTTCCAACTCCAAATATTCTGTGATTCTGTGAAAAATAGTAGTTTAGTAATGTTGCAACGCTCTAACATTTGCAAAAATAAAAAAGAGTTCTCTAAAAGAAGGTCTAGTTTAAATGCCAAAAAATTACGCCATTAACATTTTAATTGTGAGCAGTAAAAATTAAGTGACACCTTAGAAAAGATTGATTTTAAATTCTGGTTTATTTTATTGCTTAAATATCAATTGCACAGTGTGTTCTTACATTTATTGAAACTGGTTCATTACGTACAGTACAGAATACATGACCATCAGAACAACAGACAAATTAGCCCTACTCTTGATTTTGGACAAGAGGCTATTTCTATCTCTTGAAATTAACAAGGATTTAATTTACTTTGAAGCGACCCACTACCAAAAGCTGCAATTTTTTCAAACTGACATAATGGGAAAGGGAACCAAAGCAGAAGCTGGAACACACTTAAACAGCTGGATACCAATTTATAAACATGGTGACAGCGCTCAATGTGTTGCAGATAACACACTATGCATGTGGAGCTTCCAAGTCCTGCAACTTGTCTCGAACATAAAGAGAGAAGTGAAAGAAAGCAGCTTTAAACCATACAACAGTATTCTTGATCCATTTGGCTTCATTCATTAGCTACATATAACAATAGCTACCAAAACAATACATTTTACAGTCACTCCCATCCCCCAGCTGTCTAGAAAGGTCAGAGTGAACCAATTATCAACTTACAGAACCAGTTATCGACTTACAGACTCCCTGAATTTCCAGAAAGGAAGAAATTAAATATCACGTGAACACAAAGTGTTACAAGCTCTTCATTCCCTGCACAATACCTGCACAACACCTGCATTTCCCAAACAAAGCTCAATTGAACATTGAAAACATGGAAATCTAGCATTAGCATAAATGAAAAATACTTCATCAAAAGAACAGAAAATGAAATGCTGATCTAGTTACTTTCACATGCTGCATTCATGCAACAGAATTCAATCACAGAAACAATCCTGTATTTACAGCACAGTCTCCATACTGCAAGAGTGCAAACAGAAGTACATTCTTTATTCTTAGATTCCTTATTTTATTTTTGTACAAAAGTGCACAGTGTTTTTCTTAAAAAAATGACAGAGTGGATAAGTGCTTTACATTGTAACCCTAGGTTAGATTTACTATTTAAAAAATGACACTCTTCATATAGGTCAAAAAGCTATTATGTCTTACCTTAAAAAAAAACAAACAGTGAAAACTAAAATTTAGAGTAACAACGAGTCCTATTTATGTGTAGACTGTGGTCTGATCAGGCTGACACGCTGCAGCAGTAAAAATCACAACGGAATGCTGTAGATAAGGGGCTGTTTCGTCATCCACTAACAGCTGTGATTGCACTGTTAAACTGAAAAGAAGGTCTCGATTACCTTTTGAGTTTTGCGAATGCTTTCTGAAAGTCTCAGCATGTTATCTCATAGGTTTAAGTAGCTGATATTTCTCCTATGTTCTCTCACATCAGGCTTTTTCAAGTAGGCCAGTAGAATACTGTACTACAGTTCAAAAAAACCTAAAAATCCGTTTTACGGTGGGTTTGTAAATGCTCAAAACAGTCAGCAAATGAGCTGGCCTGATAACCATTCAGATCTTTGAATTATGCAATCAGAGATTAATTAAGGTTGGGACTTCTGAAGTTCATCTAAACCAAGCTCCTGC